TATAATCCGACATCGCCCACTTCCAGCCGTCGTACACACGCAAGCGTGACTCATAACGCGACTCACTCAACCCGGGCTCCCTCCAGCTGCGGGCAACTTCTCACTGTCCCTCACCACCACATTTCACGTCCTCCTTGCTCAGTGTCAGTGATTACAGTCACTCTCCTGGCTACAGCCCGGGCTGCTCAGCATACCCTTCCCTTCAGCACATGTTCCTGGCTAAGCCACAGACCTAGTGGATTGAATGTTCCCACGGACCCCGCGCTGGTGCCCACGCAGCAGAAGGAAGCCAGGAGAGTGCACGGCTTGGTGACTGGCTTCACTTCAATCGTGATCATTATCTCAGCGCAAAGCCCAGCGAGCGTGTTGTGCTGCCCTCGTTCCCTCATCTTCCTGTCCTAGTAGTTCTCACACCTTCTCTTCCCAACCCCAACACGCGGTCACCTGGTGACCTTGAGAAAACAGAAGCCGCCAGAAGAGGCCTTCCAGAGGTCCCACCACCATACACACCTGCCCACCTGTGGGCACACTCCCCTTCTCTCCTCTTTTTTTAAAAAAAAATATATTTTATTGATTTTTTACAGAGAGGAAGGGAGAGAGATAGTTAGAAACATTGATGAGAGAGAAACATCGATCAGCTGCCTCCTGCACACCTCCTACTGGGGATGTGCCCGCAACCAAGGTACATGCCCTTGACCGGAATCGAACTTGGGACCCTTCAGTCCGCAGGCCGACGCTCTATCCACTGAGCCAAACCGGCTAGAGCCCCTTCTCTCCTCTTGCCTGTCCGTCTGTGCCCCCAGATAAGGCCAACCCCCTACCTGCTCAGCAGGTCCTCCCCTCCGCCTGCTCCAGGGCATCTCAGCAGCAGGTGTCCCTCCCACTGCACACCTGTTGCCTCCCTGGGCCTGGATCCCTTACACCACTCGTCAGCAAACGCTGTCTGCAGAGGGCCAGCTAGTCACTATGTCCGGCCCTGTGAGCCAAACAGTCTCCGTCACAACCACTCAACTCTCTGTGTCGGCGTAAAGCAGCTATAGACAGCTCGAAAGCAACACAAGCAGGGCTGTGCTCCCATTAACATGTATTTACGAAAACAGGCTTCGAGTGGGATTAAGCCGTCCTTCGTAAAGGAGTCCTGATGTACATCACTGTGCGA